TATTATAAAATATTGTAAAAAATAAAGTGGGTGGCCTACTCACCATAATACAACACTGGTGACTGAAAAGTCCCGGTGTTCAGAATAGAGGTATTGTCACACTGTGACTGATCAGTTGTTAGTATGAAGGGATAATATCATACATTTTCAAATTAAATATTGTTGTTTCAAATTATTTTGGTAGCTTCCATGCAACAGTGTTCAGAATGCCAGACTTTGTATCAGCCACCCAATATGCAATGCAGGAGCTGATGTTGTGAATCAATCAATACACCTTCAATATTAATAAAACTTTGACCATTCCATTGTTTTTATTTGCTCACTTGTATGACATACGGCTGGATGGTGGTTGGCTGTGGCCTTGGAGGTACAGACTAACCTGAAGGTCTGTGTTGTCATCCCCAGCACTTCAAGCCTGCATTTTGAATTATCTGGGCCACTGACTGTCTATGAATGGTGAAAAGCCAATTACCATTTTCAAGCACTTAAAATGTATATTAGGCTTGTTCAACCAGATTATATGAACTGGGAATATCCCACTTAAACACTACAAAAGAAAGAGCTGTGTTATCCTGTTGCTAGGTCACGTCCCATAGACCAGAGCAGTACAGGCTAAATAAATATTAGTAATCTGAGCACTCCGGGTTCTAACATATAAACAATAATAACAAAAAAATAAAACTAATATTTTTGATGTATTAATTAATGTTATATTTGTACACGTTAAAGCCTGGGTGATAAGGTGTTAACTAATTACTGGGTCAGCTGAAACACAAGTACATAAGAATGACTGGATTTACCACTAGAGGGCACTGGGATATAAAACAGCTCATTCCCTGTGTAACTGGATGTATCCTGTCACCTTTAAGCACAGTGCACACGAAGGTGTGTTATTTTATTTCATTTCACTAGCAGCCCCACATGCAAACCAGTATGTGGATGTGTTCACTGTCTGTCTTACGGTCATTTAACAAACCAGTAGCTATAGTCCTCAAACATGCCTCTGACCCACTGCTGTACAACAAAGGGTTGTTTTTTGTGTGGAATAAACATTGGGAGAAAATCACTGTATTGCGCAGACGTGTTCCAAAAATCCGACAACACCTGAACTCAACACGTGCATCCATGCTTTCTATCGATCCACAGAAAAACAACATGTCCTCATTCTGCATGTTCCAGTCAGGTCCCCAGACCTCAACACGCACACTGAAACCAGGCTGCGCATCCGTCTCTCCCCGGCACGTCCCCACACAGCGCGTCTGTGGGACTGACGAGTCCCCATCAACCCCTGTGGAGCTCGGAGGAATGTGTCCTCAGTGCAGTGTCCCCGTCGGTTCTGTCTGTGGTCTCCTGCTCGCAGGCCAGTGATGTCTGTCATGATTGAACGGCTCATAACAGCGTCACTGCTGAGCCCCCCCCCCCCCTGTCACCATCCATCCCTGCGCAAACAGTCCCATCCTGACCTGCTTAGAAACACTGAGATCTGATCCTCACCGGTAAACCTGCCTATATGAGGCAGAGAGCATGCAAACACACACACACACTCACACACACTCACAGTCAGAAGTTGAAGGGAAGGACACACGCGACGGATGGAGCCGGTTTACTTACGTCTGAGTAGAAAAACCGTGAAGAGGATGGTGCTGAGGGGGGTCGACATGACTGGAGTCTGACATCAGCAGTGGATGCTGCCGCGAGTGTGTGTGTGTGTGTG